GTCTCAGTTCGCGATTCTAAAAAATGTCTTGGCAGTCAATCAGGTCAGTTCACTACCTCCAGACTGACAGTTTGAACCGCAAAGATGAACTGACAACTGACTGATTGACTGATAGCAACTCTGATTTGATCCTTGCTCTTATTTAGCTGCACCAGGCGCTGCGGCCGGAACACGAGACTGGCCTCCTCAGCCTCCTCCAACCTGACGCTCTTGACGAATGACTCCAGGCCATGTATTGTCTGGCTCGCGTCTTCCACCTGAGTTGTAAGACAAGTCCACATCCTGCCGTCGCCATCGTAGGGTGGGGGTGACCCTATCTTTGTCTTGCTTGCGACTTCTACCAACTTGAGGTGTATTTGGTAACATTCATTACCGAGAGATTTGACTTCACCTGTGAGGTTTTCGAGGGATGCATTGCCGAGCTTTGCGTCCTTGTCGAGTTCGGAAAGGGATACTGATAATGTCCAAGCCGCTTTGTTCAGAGCGATGACAGCAGAGGCTGCGTTTACAGGTGTGGATGCAACTATCTCCATCGCTAGTAATCGACGTGGACACTGCGATGGGTGTGACTCGCAGGGTGAAGCTCACTGTCGTCTGCGGAAAGTCGTACTAGGCAGTGCGATGAATGTGACACTAAGCGCCGATAGCCATGCAGGTAATGGCTTGCGCCACAAGGTTATGTGTCATGCGGTGAGCATGACCGAGAAGACCACTTTGAAATTTGAATACAATTACGCCGATGTGGAACCCCTTTGTCCAGTAGAAACACAAAAAGGTATATCGAATGCCCATAATCGGGTTCAGAGGAATCATTGGTGTCACAACATCCTTGCATGTTCACGTCGATGGTCAAACATGCAAACCCTTTAGCAAGGGGCGGAAATGGCTGAACGTCCTGGTCGAGATGCGCCATGAGACGCAGGCCCATCACAAATATTATATGGGAGGCCTCTTTCACATGGAAAGAAGGATATGTTGATAGGTCAGCAAGACAATGGGGCCAAATGTTATCACGTCCTGGTCATCTAAGCCTCTGCGTCTGACCGTAAATAAATCAGTCTTCTAGCTCACTGCGCAAATGGCGTCCCATAGCCCCCAGTGAACATTTACACATTTCGACATTATCTTTTTGGCGCGCCAAAGCCACGTCTACGGCGGCGAGTTGTGCCCATTTACCAAGGATGGCTGGCGCCACAAGCTTATGCGAGGGGTTTATTCCCCGCCGGAACAGGGCAAGCTTACCGATACGCAACGATCGAGCTATTCAGGATGAACTTCACATTCAGCCTTGGTCGTGCGACTGGCTTGAGCGCAGGAACTAGCAATGAACTGATCCAAAACACGGGGTGATGAGACAAGTAAACCTCAACGATTCTAACGATACCGATCTCGATAAGGTATTCCCCACCAAGTTTGTGCCCACTGCATGAGGCAGAGCCTAGTAACACAGCTGGTGGGACTAAACATAGCACGTCCACGCTACCACAATTATGCATTGCGCCAATCATTTCATTCACCGAAGGACACGAAAGCATGGATATACGTTGACCGATTAGCCTGGCCCCCAACGTACGTGAACAAACGAAACTCGGTTGCAGAATGGTTCACAAGTCACTCTACGCAGCATCTGAAACCCATTCTTTGTTTGACCATCCCATGCCTTCTTCCTAGAACCTGATCATCGTGTTCCTTTGTCGACAGCGTTCATAATACCATTCCATCAATCGCCTGTGTCAACGCAAGATTCTAGTCTCTTAAGGCACATCATCAATTACATCAGTCTCGATGGCTGGACCCAATCAAAGCACATGGGCGAACACGAGAGTGCCAGTCCGTGACGATGATCAAGGAAGTTTTGAGAGACGACGAGGATGGAAGTACAGAAGCCTAGGAATCGGACCCGTCAAGCTTCCATACTATGCATCGCCAGAGTCACAGTTGATACTGGTCTCATTTGTCTGCTTCTTGTGCCCTGGTAAGCTTCAGCGCATCATCCGAGTGATAAACAAGTTACTGATACTGCGCAGGCATGTTCAATGCCGTCAATGGGATAGGCGCAGCAGGTCTTGACGATGACGCCCATGCCAGCAACGCTGCCAACACTACGCTTTATGCTACCTTCGCCGTCGTTGGATTTTTCGCCGGTACCATCACGAACGTCCTTGGCATTCGAATTGCACTCTCCTTCGGTGGTCTGGGATATTGCATCTACGTCAGTGCACTGCTTTGTTTCAACAAGACCCAAAACTTAGGTTACGTGGTTTTCTCTGGTTTCCTGCTGGGATGTTGTGCTGGTATTCTGTGGGCTTCCCAAGGAGCGATCATGATGTCGTACCCAGTAAGTTTTTGTTCTTTCCATGCTCTGAGAATCCGCTTACCAGACTGCCTATAACAGCCCGAGAAAATGAAAGGACGGTATATCTCCTGGTTCTGGATAATTTTCAATATGGGGGTAAGTTGTGGTTGTGCAGAATGCATCTGAGACATACACTGACTTCGTACCATCACTTCTCAGGCTGTTATAGGCGGTTTGGTAAGCGGATTCCCAGAAGGCATAGAAAGAACAAACACTGACTTCAATATCAGGTGCAACTAGCGCTCAACTTCAACACCCGCGACGGAACTAAAGCAGCAGTTACGAATGGTACATATATCGGTTTCATGATTCTCACGTTCTTCGGCGCATGCCTCTCCTGGACACTCATTGATGCCAAACATGTCGTACGCCGCGATGGCAGTCGGGTAATCATGATGCAACACCCAACTTGGCAATCCGAGATCTTCGGTCTTTGGGAGACTCTCCGTACGGACCCATATATCATTCTCCTCTTCCCGATGTTCTTCGCTTCGAATTGGTTTTATACATACCAGTTCAATGACGTCAACTATGCGCGGTTTAACGTGCGGACCCGCGCTTTGAACAACACACTGTGTTAGTACTATCCTTGTTAGAATTGTATATGAGACATATACTGACCCGTATACCGACCGTTAGATTGGTTAGCGCAGATTTTTGGAGCTGCTGTATTCGGGTTTGCGCTAGACTTCCCGAACGTTAGAAGAACTACCCGAGCAAAGATAGCCTGGGTAACTATGCTGGTGTTGACCTTTGCTGTCTGGGGCGGAGGATATGTCTTTCAACGACAATACAGTCGCGATGATAACAGCCTCCACTACGACTGGACCCATGATGGATATGGCGGCCCAATGGTTTTATACATGAGCTACGGCTTCTACGATGCAGCGTGGCAAACTTGCGTTTACTGGTAACTAGCTCACCTGACGGTTTCGTTCTCTGTTAACTTTTCCTAGGTTTATGGGTGCCATCTCCAACAACAGCCGCAAGCTTGCGAACTTTGCAGGCTTCTACAAAGGTATACAATCAGCAGGTGCGGCTATAGTGTTCCGTATAGACGGCTACAAGAGGCCTTACATGGATATCTTCCTGTCTAGCTGGGTGATGTTGGCTGCAAGCTTGGTTATCGCCCTACCTGTTATGCTTCTAAAGATCAAAGACACAGTGCCACTCGAGGAGGACTTGAAATTTACAGATGAGACTATCGAAGATGTACTGGGTAGAAGAGAGGGCTATCTACTAGACGAGCCCGAGAAGGCGTAGGATGGTGCGTCCGAGTTGAGAATATCTGGAAGCCGATGTTCTCGCCTACATGCGAAGCTACCCTGCCTCCAGCGGGAGCTACAACCAAAAGATGGTTAGCGCGCAACTAACAGATTAGTACAGGAAGGCCAGTTTCCTCGTGCGAAAAGTATCTATATATCGTTCGTCAAACTTTCTACCATCGAATCTCTCACCATCTCAGTGATGCTTTCTCAAGTGGTGTTGGGCGCACGTCCGCCGCGATATCGGCAGACTATTTCAGTCCGGTGTACATTGTTCCGACGCATTTCGGAATACTCACATTCCCAGGCTCACTCCGAAAGGTAGCGGCATCTAGCTAGCACCACACGTTCATTCTTCATCATGACATATCTGCCAATAAGCCGTGCCCCGCTCTTGATGATGGATCGAGTTTCTCTTCCTGGATTAGAGCCCAACAACCCAGCTTTCTTGTGTGGTGGGGGAGAGCTTCATTCGGCGAAACTCTTATCGAATACTTGCCATGTGTTTTTGTTGAGATCATATGACAGACACGTTACTTGTTATATATGGTCCAGGTCATCTGCACTCAGTCTCTTCAGAGGTAAAGAACTCTGCAGAGGCTCTATCCAATACACACCATGGCGACTAGGTCTCAATCAGCCCTTGTGAGCACGAGCACCACACCCGACAACCAATCGCGGTTTGAGCTGGAAACAAGCTCAAGATGGAACGACGAGCCTGAGAACGAGACATTGCTGCCTCCAACCGATGGCGGAAAAGACGCTTGGTTGTTTCTTGCGGCTGCATTTGTGATAGAGATGATGGTGTGGGGTAAGCATTACACTTCATAGGCCACGGTTATCCACTTGCAGCGCTACTAGACGTACTTGGGTACTCGGCTAACATTTGATCAGGTTTTCCATGGTCATACGGTATCTTCCAGGAGTACTATAGCTCATCGCTACCCTTCTCGGGCGCATCCGGCATCCCAGCTATCGGAACATCCGCGATGGGCATACTCTATATGGTCGCACCTTTCACATTCGGATCACTTATACGTTGGCCACATCACAAGAGGAAGGCAATGGTTGCAGGCTTGCTTATCATGTGTCTTTCGCTTGGACTGAGCTCACTCTGCACGACCGTACCACAACTTATCGTCACCCAAGGCATCCTTTATGGTATCGGTGGCGCCGTCACATATAGTCCTGTTGTCACTTTCCTGGACGAGTGGTTTGTAAGACGCAAGGGTCTTGCATTCGGCATCATGTGGGCTGGTACAGGGTTAGGCGGTATCCTCATTCCGCTCTTACTCCAGTTTCTGCTCAATCACTACGGCTTCCGCACCGCGCTGCGCATATGGACGATCGTGCTTTTCGTCGTTGGCTTGCCTCTCACCTTCTTTTTGAAGCCGCGACTTCCCGTCCCAGCCACGACTAGGTCTCGCATTACCTTCACTTTCCTGACAAACAGGTCTTTTTGGATCCTGCAATTTGGAAATATCATGCAGGGACTAGGTTTTTTTGTGCCTTCCATCTATCTTCCTACATATACGAAGGCCCTCGGTTTCAGCAGTGCGGTTTCCGCTCTGCCCATCATCCTCATAAATATGGCTGCCGTCATCGGATCCATTAGCATGGGGAGTATTGTGGATCGGACGCACGTCACCACTGCCATTCTCATCTCCACCATCGGTGCTATGCTCTCCGTCTTCTTGATCTGGGGCTTCAGCACCTCTCTACCGCCGCTGCTCATATTCTGCTTCATGTATGGTCTCTTCGCGGGCAGCTTTACCAATACCTGGCCTGGCATCCTGAGGACAGTGCAAATGAGTACGGGTCAGATGGAAAGCTCTATGGTCTTCTCTTTCTTGTCAATGGGTAGGGGTATAGGTAATGTTGTGAGTGGGCCGGTCAGTGAAGCACTGTTGAAGATGGGCAATGTTGGTGATCATGGCTTGTATGGGACGCCATATGGTAGTTTGGTAGTTTGGACGGGAATCAGTGCTGCGCTCGGAGGCGTGAGCATCATTGGAAGGAGGGTGGGGTGGCTGTAAGCCCTACGTCGAGACTAGACCAGCTTATCAAAAGTCCAGTCACCCATATCTGCTTTAGTCGCTCACCAAAAGGGGGTGGATGTACCAGGTGCCTTTGAGGCGTACGAACTGCTATGTCTCTTAGCGTCATGTGGTCCTCAAATGGATAAGCTGGTTCATGTATTGGTGCAAGGGCATGTTGCGCTCATGGAAGATTACAGGTGGAGTCGACAGGTTTTTTTTTCATATATGATATTATGGCCATCATGGTTCGAGGCCTTCACGAAAGCTCATGCCTTCCACCCGGACATGCTACACGAGCAGCTTCGAAGCAGATAACGGTCACTTAATGCTGCCAGGATTTAATTTAAATACAAAAGATGGGTTCTTGAGAGTTATTGGTGATCTCTTGTTAATCTCTTGAATAAAAAAGTAACAAGTGATATTTGTAAGAGGGATGAAAGAGAGTAGCACGATCGAACGAGAGAAGTCCAAAAGAGTCGTGTCAGCGGCTTGAGTGCACACCCGCCTCGTCCTTCTTTTGCTGGCTCATTTCCTGTCCGCGCCAGTGTAGTGGTTCATACCGATTTGGTTTCCAGATATCGCCATCAGTTTCAACCTGTTCTTCTCGTCCCCTGCCCTGACTACTCTTTTGAGAATAAGCTGTCGAAAGCCCATCAATGTAGTCATTGGCACCCATCATGCAGACTTCTTCACATTCACCATATCAAATTGTGTGGAGGAGAACAGTACTCTCGTAGTGGTCGTATGCCTCTTGTTCTCTCCACCCCCTCTTTCACTCTGATCATCCTTGCTCCTTCTACTCTTCCCTTTTCCAGCGCGGTTCCTCTTGTCTAATGGCGAGTGACATACAATTTGACTTGTTGGTCGATGAAGCGCCGCTTCGGAATGTGAATGGAGCTGTGCATTGTATCGCGGTAACGGTAATTGCATGGAAACTAGGTCTTCTTCAGATTGTGTGTGTTTTGACAATCTATCTGGCTGAGTAGACAGCTTTGCAGGGCTAAAAGTGGACTTCCATTTCTTCAGTGTTGTGCCAAACCCCATCTTGCTTGTGTTGTCTGAGGCGATCGTAATCGTGGTTTGTCTCGTAGGCTTTTTTCTTCTTCGATGTTAGGAATGATTGACGAGGCTATGAATGTAGGTTGGGAAATTGAAGAAAGCGATCGAAGAGCGCGTGGGAAGATATCGCATGCGTTGATATCACAAGGGATTTCCCCATGATTTCGGATGAGTTGCATCTCTAGCCAAAAATGGTAATCCCTTGCGTAACGGTCGATGAACGATGCGGCCTGCGCCGCAGAATAGCGTTCTTGACCCAGCCGGTAGTTCCTCGGTAATGCCTGATGACTGAACCAGGTCTTTGGAACTTGATGGAAAGTCTATTCAGACTCGAGACAGCTTCTTTCACAAACGCTTGGACTGGGAGCAGTTATAGTTCGGCGCGGCTGTTGGTCCAAGTGACACACCCACATGTTCGCAGCGGCGCAGCGGCATCTGCAGTACTACTCCCGGGGACCCCGGCCGTACCGATATGAGATGGCTATGCAATTTCAAGAGTGATCCGTCAACTCTGTGCTCATTTTGTGTGGCTTGCAGTTGTGGCATGAGCTTTGGGGGGAAGCGGCACGGTAACGTAGCGACAGGGGTATGTCGGTACCCGACGTAATGCATAAGAAGCAGCGAAATTGCATCCGAGAGCGTGCCGCGTCTAGACCATTAGGTTCTTCCACAGGTGGTCAGCATGGTATTGGAAAGCGCTACGAGGCAGGGCACACGATGAGGGCCAGGAAAGTGTCTTGAGGCTGGCTCAGTGACAAAACAAGATAGCCTTTGGGCTTGCTGGGTGCGATGCCATACAACATGTTATGGAGCAAGAACGATAGACACAATCGCGGTCGTATTCACGCCGTGTAACTAGCCATTGTTGGAACGGTACGAAGTCAATTGCGTCGCATATGCATATCGGCCGCTCTCTCCACGGTAGATGCTACAGACCCTCTTCGGATCGTGCTCTCTGTGGGCATGTGCGATAGATCGCCCAAGGCATACTTCAGAACCGCCGTGTTCCTTGGTCGTATTTGCAGGGCTTATCGTACAGAGCTCCAGCATCGCCGATTCACCGAACTCGGTGCAGATTCTTGTTCTTCCTTAGCTAATGAGTCGCATCGTTACCTCGACCGTGGCGAATGTACCCGCAGATACAGGCATAGCTCTCAACAGAGTCGGTCCAATACCCCTCCAGAAGCCACCCAGACCCTCTCCCCTATATGTCTTGGCGAAGCAGTCTCTCATACTCTTGTACTTCTGTTCCTTGCCAAACGCATCACTCTGCATCTTGCTCTTGATCACATCGAACGGATAACTGCTTATCCAAAGCACTTCACCAGCGAGTCCACCATAAGCCGCAACTTTTAGAGTGGAAATTTCCGAACGGTCAATGTTGTTGCGCGCAGCATCTGCATTCATCATGTACTCGAATGCAGTAAACCAACAGCCGTAAGCTTGGGCTTCGCGCATGAATGTCACAGCTGTGCCGCGGTAAACGCCGCCGAGGATGCCTTGGTGTGCAGTGAGCTTACGCACACAGTCGATTGGGCCGGCATAGAGGCGGTTCGCGCCGTGCGGCTGTGTCTGCAGTCTTATGCGGATGTGCTCGATAGGACTAGACAGAGCGGTGTTGGCGATACCGGCGAAAGCACCAGCGGCATAATACTGTGAGTACGAGAGTTGGCCTTTTCCGGTTTTTGCCTCATTGCTAGCTTCAAAGGCGCGTCGCGCGTAATGGAAGCCACCGAATTGAACAGATACACAAGCTCCGATTCCGATGAGTGGTGTCAGCGTACCCTTGTAGAAAGCAAGTGCTCCTTCATTTTGGTAGATTTTGGTCGCAGCATCCAAGGCACCAGAGTATTGTGATGTTGTTTGTAACCTAACCTACAGGTATGGAGATACGAAGTCAGTGTATGTCTCACATGCATTTCGTACAAACACAACTTACCTTGACGATGTCGAAAGGTTGTCCAATGAGTACCTAGAAAATGAGGTTCAGTTTGGGTGGAGAACTGGCGCAATAGTGAAAGTACCTGTGCGACTCCTCCTACTGCACCTGCGAAGAGATCCTTGAGTGTCCGGGAGAGACCGTCCTGAACAGGCTCCTCGTGCTCAATATGAGGCTTTGACATTCTGCTCTCCGCGCTTTCCGTGTCTCTAATGGCTCTTTTTGCTTGTTGCTCTCTTATCGGAGTAGACACGGACCTGATAGAGGGGTAATTACGACGTCACCAACTTTCAAGGCACCGTATGCGCTCCTTGCGTGAGCACCAAGAGATGGAAAATTTCCTTGTAAAGTCGTTGTTCAAAATCGCGACTCACAGCTACTGCGAGGTCGCTCAAAGCCATGCAAAGGCTCCAAAAGCCAATGGCGTGCTTGCGCACAGACGCGCTAGCAATGTCCTTGGATAGCCGATGGTTAGCTGCATCCCATGCCTCAAAGTGGTCATCTTTTGCACTATTTTGCCATACTACAGCGGTTCCATTAGCGATAATATTCTTGTCACAATCATTGAATTCTAACAGTATCATTCCAGTTTTGACATGAACATAGATAGCGCTTTAAGGAAAGATGCAGACGCAAGACTAGAAACGCTGTGAAAATGACCAAAAACTCAGATAGCCACCCAGTATATCCCATGATCCCCGATTTGCGCTAATCAGTGTTTCCATGCAATGCGTATACGAATGCTTTACGCCTATCCCATCGACACATATATACAGACAAGGAGATAAAGAGAAGGGTCGAGCAAGCTTCTCCGGGTTCAACAGGAGAACAACAGACTACCAACGAGTCTAGAGGAACCTCTCGCGACATTTTTGATGTGATCCAGACAAAACGTTCAGAGAAGACGCAGGATCATTTTGCATGCCCCATGCAGCATCTCAGGCCATTCGTAATGCGTAGAAACATTCAACGTGACTACCAGCACTTGAGCTTCCTCCAAAAGCTCTGTTTCGGCTCATCCTCGCTATCCTTTTCATTCTGTGTATGGGCCGCATAGTCATTTGGGTCTCGGTTCGGGTTCGAGTGAAGAGGCAGAGCGGCAGTTCGATTCGCAGGACCGTCTCCAGCAGTGAGCCGGCGTGCTTCTACTACACGACGTACGAGTACTTTGATGAACGTTAGCAAGCCTTATTCCAATTCCTCTCCCTCTCACATTGTCTTTTGCGCAATGTAATTGCGACAGAGGTGTCTTACAGGCAAAAGTCTCTTCGATGTTGACCATCTCCCTCGCACTCGTTTCCATGAAGCCACACTTTCTTCGTCTCGCCCACTCGAGGCCTGTTTTTGCCTCTACGACTCTTTGCCCTTGTAAATCGCACTTGTTGCCTACTACGCACTTGATCGGTGGTATCTTGCCATTGTCTAATCGATTTTCTGTCTCCATTTCTATCATCTCCATGAAGTAATCTAGCGCGTCGAGCGAGTTGGCAGATGTTATGTCGTAAACGAGGAGAAACGCGTCGGACTGTAGGTTCGAAGCTGCCCAGAGACCCCGGTATTCTTCTTGGCCCGCGGTGTCGGTGAGCATGAGGTAGTAAGGGACTCCATCGACGGTTCGAGTTACGGAGTAGGAGTCTTCTAGGGGAATGTTAGTTATGTGAGGCCAGATGCGACGAGCATAGGCGCAAGGCAACATACCTATCGTAGGATCGTACTCAGATGTCCATTGACTCCTCACAAGCCGTAGTGTAATCGAACTTTTTCCTGTAACCAAGTCAGCGTCTCAATGCTTCAAGTCCGACTTTGAATCGCGCATACCACAGCCTCCATCTCCACACACCGTGATTGTTATCCTGTTGTTCTCGTCCATTGTGTCCTCCTCTTGCGTTGCCCTGATGCGAACTGCTTTGGTTCCCGAGACGTATGCGATTTCCACGCAACGGATAATTGGGTCGTAACCGCGTCCGTTTCGAGTTGTCTATGCTCGTGAATGCGCTTGACGCAAACCGCCTTCCTAAACCAAACACTCCTTTTCCTGCTACCCAGACGGGATCCTATCAATTCGGCCCAGAAATATGATCGCAAGGTCCTTGTAATTCGCGGTCGGAATCGCAGTCGGAATGGGTAACGTTTCTCGCTCAGGTCCGACGAAAAGTAAACCACGGCACAGAAACAAGAAAAGATGTCGCGCGAAGGATTGACGACTCGTGTCAAGGCAGCGTTGTCGTCGGCAGTCCAGAATACCAAGAACCAGAAAATGAAGAGGCAGCGCAGCGCAGGCTTCACCTCGTAATAGTAATACCCAAGAGAGAGAAAGCCCCAACAACAAATTAATGAACGAACAGTGCCCCCAAAACGGTCCCTAGTATCCAAAGCGCAACGTTAGAAATGAATCAGGCATGAAGCTGGCCAACTTTGGACGAAAAAAAGAAATGAAGGATGAAGATCGCTTGATGCCCCCGTTACCTCTTTCGCGGTGGTATCCGAGCCTTACCCATCCCATCTTTGACTTTCGGTGCGAACGTAAAACCCTTGTACCCTTGTCGCGCGCTCATGTCATGGCACAGAAACCATCGACAGAGCCCAGATAAGGCGCAGACGCTTAGGCCGCAGGGGATCGAAGGATGCAAAGGATCATGGCCGGAAGACGGCCCCACTTGTTTGATTGGAGGCTGCTGCGGGCTTGATGAGGGGGGAACGAGGGAGAGAGCCCAAGCCATGTGGGTAACAACGTGCGACGGAGGAAGTTTATTTGCCTGACGAACTTTCGTCATTGGAGCCTACTTCCGCGATGCAAAGCGATACCGAGGCACGACACTCCAGCCTTTGCACAACAACCTCCGCATCTCAGGACAGAGAGAGGCCTGTGTAGTTGGCATTGGCTTTCCCTAGGCCCCCCAATCTAGTTGTAATCTGCCTTTCCAAGAACCTTGGAACTAACGAGTGCTGCCGGGGCTAACTGCCCGGGAACCTGCATGCAGCTCTCATGCCCCCCCTGTACGTTCCTCATTCTGCTTCCGTGGAACATGCAGCATTCTAGCGCCACATCACGTATTCTAGAGCTGCCTCCAGCACACGCCGCGCCCATGCCACATTCCCACGCGTGGGTTGTCTGATTAGAAGCGAAGCAAGGCAAGACAAGGCCGACGGCGAGTCCATGACACAACCTTGATCATGACTACTGATCCTTTCTTATCGCATCTCACCTTCAACGCCAAGTTGCGCAACAGCTGTGCGCTTCAGACAATACCTGTGCAAGTATATTACCAAGCGTAACAAAAGGGCCGGATATTGGGTTTGATTGTTGATGTTGTGATACGACTGCCGCATGATTTTGGTCTCGATAATGAGGCCACTTTACGCCACAATTAAGGCTTTCCTGGACATCGTCGCGTCGAAGACAAGCGAATGAGCGGGAAGAGAGCGGGGAAGAGTTACAAATGGATCGATGGGTCAAGGAAATTGTTGGGGTTTACTGCAGTTCGTCCAGATCATCTTAGTTCGGGTCCACTATTCATTTGATATGATCTGATCTGATGTGATATATAGATGATCGAGTCAGTCATGCGATCCACGCATCCTGACAAACCAACACATACACTTGACCGATTGTCGCTGATATATACAACAGAATAACAACAGCGCATTACCGCCAAACGAGTATGCCCGAGACATTTACGTGCATGTTGCGCCTCATCTCTTAACCTCCAATTTATGAACCCGGCAGCCGAGAAAAATCGACCACACGCGCCAAACTCACCCCAATTTCTTGTCGCCCCAAATCATAAAGCATCAGACAGTGATAGAAGAAAAAAAGAGGATATGAGTCTAAAAACTCCCCCATAAGACGATTCGCTCTCGGCAAGTGAATGTGAAGTTCGTTAAAGGGAATATAAGTAATGGGGTATCGTTGGACCAAAGCGGAGAATGACACGAAACAGAAGAGGAAAACCGTGAAGTAGTAGTAGAGAAGAGGATGCTCCGACCAATCATGCTCATGATTCCGGCTCCGTTACTTCATCGATCGCTGGTGGCGGGATGAAGCCTTGCGAAGCCGCAACTTCCGTGCGCGCTGCTTTAATAGCATGAGACTCGCTGATACTGCCTTGCTGCGGCGATCGTTTAGTTGATGGAGCCATTGCCGAAGGGATGGAGGATTGTTGTCCGGTCTCGGGTATCGAATGAGGAAGGATAGTCTGATGGTTCTGGTGGCTTGTTGAGAAGTGGCGCGGTGAAGCGCTTTTCTTGCTCTTGTCGCTTGCGGCGGAGGATGTTCTAGGTGATACTCGCCCTTGCTGTGAAGAGAGTTCGCGTTAGTTCTAACGATGTTGTCAGGAGTGAGAGTTGTAACTTACCTGCTTGGCCCACCGCAATCCGCACGAATTACAAAGGTCCCGGTTCCCTGAAGGACCCCTGCGCCACTCGGGCGTTGTTCTCGTGTGGCAGTTTGCACAGTCTTTCTGCATTTGGCCAGCACCCTTTCTGCGCTTCCTCTTCTTTTTGGCTGCCAACAGGCTCTGGACTTCTTCTGCTAGGTATCTATTCCGCTTTTCCATTTGTCGTAGCTCGTATTGCCAGCTTGTGCTTCGCGTCGTCTTCAGTTCGTCAAATACGTTGTCGTCTGAGGCTAGACTTTGATCTTGATGGCCGAGCTGGAGGCCATTGTGTCCAGCGAATGTAGCAGGAGATTCCTCGGTAGTGACGAAGAGTGGATTCGTGTTGGACGTCATTGGCGTGTTTGAACCAGCAGGTCCAGTCAAAGACCCCGCGGCAGGTGATGCTGCTCCTGACATCTGGGTATGAATAGAGTTGTGGGAGTCGCGCTCATGCTTGGTATTTGTATACATGGATGGGCGGCCGGCATTGCTATTCCGCGAATACTTGAGGAGTCGCGTTTGCCCAACGACGAAGGTAGGTTTCTGGCCCTCCGTTGCATCTCCAGGATATATTGTCGTAAAAGCCTGTAGAACCTGGCCACGCTTGTTAATCATTTCATGCTTGACCTCGCCTTTCCTGCCCCCTCTGGCAAGCTCTAAAATCCGGCCGAAGTTGATCTTTGACTCCTGGCGCATGAGAGATTGTATGCTAGTGCCGACAAGGTCTTCAGGCTGCTTATCGAGCAACTGGCGCACGTTTGACGAAACGTACAAGAACATGCCTGATGTAGACATCTTCGTCCACAGC